AGGTGAACTTACACTGTGTGATTAAATACATTCATTTGTGATTGACGAGACATCTCGACTGTCTTCTGACACTGTCAACTTTAACATTTTTAACGCTCTTCTGAAATAAATAACTTTATCATATGCAATTGGTTACTTTCGTTATGGGAAAAGAGAACTTTGAATCTTTAAAAACTGGGTCATGGCGAAATAGCCCTCAGGAACAGACGCAGACGGAAGACTTCCTGTACAAGAACCTTGAAATATATCCAAGTTGGTTTGCCCTTGTTCATAGGAAATACAGTTTTATTTTGCGCAGAAGTAACATATCATTTTTTCAAATCGATTATGAAAGAGTCGTCAGGAAATTTAAATTTAGGTAGCGGTTCTTTTCATAAATGCTTAAGCCGAGCGTTTCCTTGTGGTTGGCATGCTTCGACTGTAAATTCAAGGATTCACTGTCCGCCACCTCGAACTCTGGGGCTGTGAATACACTATAAGAGGGATGGTCACTTCCAACTATGTTTTCTGCAACAACGGGATGTGAACCATGGACCACCGAATTCGCAGTCTAGGCCCCCTCCCCAACAGTAATAGAAAAGTGGCAAAAAATGTGTGTGTGACCTTCATTTGATCTTACGAATAAAGACTTTTGATACCACAGTATCTATAAGCTTCCTGTAATATTACTCGGTTGTTAACATGTACTATCCGGTAAAACGTTTCATGTACTTTTGACTTTTTGTTAATCTATCAAGAAGGTTTGTTTTGTATGTTTTGTTGTTAAATAGCATGCTGTTCCCGATTTGGTGTTACAGGAGAAAACAAGTTGTTTACCATGAAAAAAATTACATAATCGCGATTTTGTTTAATATTCTGGTTTTCAAAAATCATATAATCATTTCAATATTACATATTTTTCAAGAAGGTGATTATTTCCCCTCTTTTTTTTTTTCCATATGTATTTCGTCACGTAATTTCTTTATAAGGTAATAAACAAAAAATTATTTTATACCTCAGAGTTACTCTACAGGAAATGTCATTGTGGATTCGTATTTGTCTTTAAAGTTACTCCACAGGAAATGTCATTGTCCTTGTGGATTCGTATTTGTCTTCAAAGTTACTCCACAGGAAATGTCATTGTCCTTGTGGATTCGTATTTGTCTTCAAAGTTACTCTACAGGAAATGTCATTGTCCTTGTGGATTCGTATTTGTCTTCGAAGTTACTCCACAGGAAATGTCATTGTCCTTGTGGATTCGTATTTGTATTTATGGCAAATCTACTAAGGCTGTCTGCCACATTCCCTTATTTGGAGCTGCTGAGAAAAGGGGAAGTAAGCCAATCAGAAGCACCTTACCATCCACGCCAAAACTTAAAAAGCGAGAAATATTTTGTTGTATCGCACGGATTCGAACTTAGATAGTCAGCTCCTAAATCCAGAGCTCTACCACAGGGCCAACCGACGCCCTCGCCTCAACATTATATATATTTCCTTTCGCTATCATAGCATAACATATCAGAAGGACACGTAAACAACTTACGGCCTTAATATATTTCAACGTTAAATTATTTGTTGTTTGTTTATGTGTTTCAGTGCTCAAAACCCGGATCTTTAACGTTATAAGCCTTCAAAATTACTGCTAAGTCACCGAGGGAGGGGACATTAAATGAATCGTTTATTTTATATAATTTTTTCATGGCAAACATTTAAGAAGCTCAACATAACTGTACAAAGTAAACTGGTGTAAACACAGAGAATCAGCCTTAAATCTAGTTTCTCATAGTTTGTCTATAAAATCTTTCTAATATTCAAATTTCCACTTATAAGCCTATCAGCATGAACCTCGTAAGTCTTCTTATTTCTACAGAGAGCTATTCGAGACTTATGGTAATAATTTGCATATCCAATCACCTTTCTCCGTGTCTTGTGACTATATAACTTAAAAGCCATGGTTCCAGAACAATAAGTATCTATGGTGAAAGGAACTTAGATACTTCATTGACCAATGTTCTATAATTAAAAGTACGTATACGATTATTCTAATTTCATATTAAATAAGGGGGGTAAAAGAGTTGTTTTTCTATGCCCTTAGTAGTGGGCACCACATCTAAAGCACAGAAATTTGTGTGTTTGTCTGTTTGTCCGTTATCTAACTACTCCTAGGTCACTGGACCAATCTCAATCAAACTTTGTGGAATGATAGTTTGGAATAGAGGGAAGTTAATGGGGGAGTCACAACCCTTACAGCCCTACTATTGATGTTAATGAGCATTTATTATCTTTGACGTATGTTAACGTTAACTAAATTCATAGATAGCGCTACGTTTTTACACCAAAAAAAAACAAAAACAATTTATTTCATTTTCCGTACCCCGGTGGAACAGCGGTAAGTATTCAGATTTACAGCGCTAAAATCAGGGGTTAAATTCCCCTCGGTGGACATAGCAGATAAGAAAATACACACACGTTAAATTTTCTATAACACAACATACACACAGTTTTTTGGGGGGGAGAACACACGAACGTCTTATATATCTCAGAGAGTGCGCTATCACTCTCTACGGAGTAACGCAATGAACAAAATTGGCAGCCACTATTGCAATAATACATAAACTCAGCTGAAGTTTCTAGTCCAACAACCATCATAAGGCTGATATGAAGAGCCGTTTCTTGAGTTATACCCACTTTCTACTTTGACCCGTAACCTTTCAACTTCGGCCCGTTTGACACTTCTGCGCCAATGACCGTCAATTAATTAATCACGTGAAACACTGTGGAAGAACATTAAGAGGTGGGGGATGAAAGCAGGTAACAGAAAGTACCCCTATGGCGATTATTTTGGCCGCTACCTCTTCCTACAAAGTCACCCTGACCATCGCACAGTGTATACCATGTTTTAAGTATATACATATTGTGTTCTTAAAGCTTATACAAAATCTTTGGTGAAGTAATAACGAATACTGTAATAGTATGTTATGTTATAAGGAAGTCGTGTGAAAGTTTAGATTTTTGTATTATTCATCATAGCATCCACATTTTTTTTTAAGTTCATAACCCGGAAAAGACTGGTACCTCAGCATCTATCTATATATATACTTAAATTCCCAGTTTAACGGTCGTTTTCCTTTTTCCTCTACAGAAAAATGAATATTTTCAGGGGCTTATCATTCTTGAAATTTTACAACCTTAGCACAATAAATATTTAAGACATTACATTTCTCAGAACATAGTTCGTACACTGTTCAACAAATGAACTGTATCGTGATATTCATAAAAAGGCTATTTCTTAAGTTTTCTCAGATGTTCTTTTTTCACTATAGTTAGATAAACATCAATCAATTTCTTTAATTACTCTAGAAAACTTCATTTTCTGGAATTTTTATAATTAAAAGCTTCACTAATTATTTATGCATTAAGGCAGGACTTCCTAAACATTCTCAACACAAGGCCACTCAGAGCATTCCGCATCCTGATTGAGGATCCTCCACCAAATGAATTTATAGCTACTGAACATTTGAACCGTTCCTGCGGGTCTCGTGGGTCCGCGGGCACCAATTTGGAAGCCCCTGTTTCAAGAAACTGGTTAACCGCTATAAATTAAGATCCGAATAACGATGTATCTTCTTTAATAAGTGTTAAGCCTTGTAAGTGACATTTGTTTTAGATACCTTTGATATTTATACTATGAGAGCAGAATTGCAAATATATCTTTTTTTCTGTAACCTTAAAAAGCCTATTTTGCTATCATAAAAACAACGGTTTTTAAGTCTCCATTTGATGTCAGTAGGAATATTGAAAGTGATCGTTCCTTAATCAATAATACAAAAAACGTTTATTGAAAGGCAATTTTAATCATATAATTTTCAGAAACAAAACACCAATACCTAAAAACGCCATCATCTTTAAAATACGTTTTATTAAACTAACTGAAAGAAACAAAATCACTCATAATCGCCCCCAGGTGGCACAGCGATATGTCTGCGGACTTACAACGCTAGAATCTTGGGTTTCGATACCCGTGGTGGGCAGAGCACAGATAGCCCATTGTGTAACTTTTGCTTAATTACAAACAAACAAACGAACACTCATAATCTCCTTAACCCTAACGCCAAAAGCAATTTCTCTGAAATGTGTCTCCAGAATTGTTAGGACTACTTAATATGCTTTCAACATCAATAAGTGCGTGATATAATAAGGCTGTTTTTATTCAAAAATTTAGAGAACATTGCCAATTGTAATAAGATTTCACCTGTCGAAATGTATAATATACTATTCAAAAATTGTGTAAACACAATAATGAACGTATATCTTACATTATATGTCTAACCAACTTCTTCAAAGTGTTTGCTTAAAAACGTTGTCCACTTCTAATCAAATCTTACACTTTTGTAAAAGAAATTCTCTGTTGAGAATAGGTTCATAACATACGTTTAAGAAACATAGTTTATCCCCCCTGGTGTTTATATAATTAGCAATCATAAAAATGGGTTGTGTAGAGAGTGAGAGGATGAGTTTAAGTGTGGAAATATTACATCTTTGCCTTTCCAACATCTTCGCTTTTCTATTCATATAGGGATCAAGGAGACAGATCCCCACATCCTGATGTATAATCGCGTTCCCAAGTCTGGCAGTGAGACTATGACTATGCTCATTTCTACGTTATCTCATCTCAACGACTTCGAACACTATAGATCTTCAGTCTTCAATAAGCGACAGCTTAGTAAAGACGAACAGGTAAGTACACTACCGAACGATATAAAAAAATTGACGGAATTCCACTTCAACAACTTAATCCACTTCGTGTGGTTTGCTTGTTTGTTTGTTTTGAATTTCGCGCAAAGATACACGAGGGCTATCTGCACTAGCCGTCCATAATTTAGCAGCAAAAGACTAGAGGGAAGACATCTAGTCAACGCCACCCACAGCCAACTCTTGGGCTACTCTTTTAGCAATGAATAGTGGGACTGACCGTTACATTATAACGCCCCCACGGCTGAAAGGGCGAGCATGTTTGGTGTGACGGGGATCCGAACCCGCGACCCTCAAATTGTGAGTTAAGAGCCCCTAACCACCTACCTGGCCATGCCGGGCCCTACCGAATGATTTGTTTTTGCATTCCTTCCGTTGTTACAGCTTATATTGATATATATATTGTACACTTCTGCTTAGGAAATATTTTTAAAATATGATATATTTTTAACAACATAATGTTCAAATCTTAAAACAAAATGTTGCAATACATTTTGTTTAAAATATAAAAATTAGATTCGCTTATAACATGTTAAATACCTAAGTAATTTCAAACGCATATTTTTTTCATATAGTTTCAAATTCTGAGATAATAGACTTATTTCCTTTTATGAATGATAAGAAGAGTAAGTTACGTCCTGGTATTGGAACTGTTACATGTGCTTAACAGGTTTCCAAACCACGTGGCATGGCCAGGTGGTTAGGGCACTCGACTCGCAAACGGAGGGTCATGGGTTCGAATCTCCGTCCCACTAAGCATGCTTGACCTTGCAGCCGTGAACTATTTACTGTCTCCACCGCGAGGAATCTAATCACAGATTTTAGCGTTGTAAGTCCATAGACTTACCGCTGTCACACCGGGGAACATCTATCAAATACAGCCTGATGAATTTAAAATTAATTGAATACTTTAGCCTCACTCCAGATCCATTAAATACAATTGGATTACTTCATTTTATTATTATATTGTCTATCATTACTCCAAAATCACTGCTCCGCCACGGTGGCTAAACTATAAATTTAAAGGATATCTAATGCTAATTATCAGGTTTCGATACTCGCATGGGGCAGAGCACAAATAACCCATCATTCTGTAGCTTTGTGCTTAACAACGATTGCTTGTTTGTTTATTTGAAGTTAAGCAGGAAGCTATACAATAAGCTACCTGTGCTCTGCCCACCACGGAAGCCCGGTTACTAGCGTTGTAAGTCCGCAGACATACAGCTGTGACACTGGAGGAGGGGGGCGCTTAACAACGAAATAAACAAATCAAAGCAAGCCCTCAGTGCCTCAGCGGTAAGCTAGTGGGCTTATGACGTTAAAAATCAGTGTTCAATACCCAAGGGATGGACATAGAGCAGGTAGCCTGTTATTTAGCTTTGCGCTTAAAAATACAAACAACCTTACTCCAAATCTGTCAAATACAATTGGATAAATTCACTACTTAGAATTATTTCAAAAATTTCAATGTTTACAAAATGTTTTTTTTCTTCATTTTACTTGATACTTCTTTCATTTTCTTTTTGAATTTTTAGATATTTAGTTTCAGTTTCGTTTCAAATGTTATAAGTTGAACAGGCTTCAATAACATAAGCTTGCGGTAAAATCGACGAAAGAAGAAACACATTCATTCTGGTTTACTTTTCGGTTTTGCCTCCCAGTGACACTGCGGTATGTCTTCGGACTTATAACGCTAGAAACCGGGTTTCAATACCGTGGTGGGCACAGCACAGATAGCCCATTGTGTAGCTTTGCGCTTAACTACAAAGAAACAAGCAGAAACTTTTCGGTTTCTTTCTCTTCAATAATTTCCGGTTTCAAGTACTTTTTTTCTGTAGCATTTGACTATAAATTGATCCTTGATAATCAACTTTTGAAACAATTAATATATTTAAAAAAAAAAACATAATGCATGTGACCTATATTTTATGAATTTTACTAACTTCTGTATATATATTTAACGTTAGTGCATGCACTAAATTTCATCCACGCTCCAACAGACACATTGTGATACTGTGCTCTACATTCACTCTCAGTCTCTTCCGTTCGGATAAAAGCGTGAAAGTCTTTCTAGCTAAACATATGAATTGTTATGTTTAAATTATTTCCTGCATCCTGATATTTCACAACTTCAACAACCTTATTCAACAAAGACCAAGGACATTCACAAAACTGATATCTGAATCTGTATCATTTTATCACTTTTGTTACATTTAGGGTCCAGCGAATGGAATGACTGCCTTGTTTAGCTAGTAGATTTTTTCAAAGGTGGCACTGCTGTTCCCAGAACCATTAAGTGAGAATAAATCGTGAAAATCAAACCACAAAAGATGTTTATTTGTCTTTACTTGAATGAAGCTTAACATGGTGTAGTAGCTATAGTCTCTCCACCAAATGTGCTCGCCCTTTCCGCCATGGGGACGTTATAATGTTACGGTCAATCTCATTTTACGTATCCTATTTTTCTGTTATGTATTATCACAGGGTACAGTATGAATCCTAGCAATATAGGCCTTGTTTATAATTTTAATGTACTTAACACAGTAAGGAAGTTGCACGTTATCGCTTAGCAACTAATTTACTCAACATACTGGCCAAATTCGTGCTAATGGTTTCAGACTGTAATTGTAATTAAATGTATTAATCTACTTTCTGAAGACTTCATATTTATTGGTTTTATACGGAGCAAAATGTTGATGTGTTAGTTTCTTTAGTATTTGTTTTATAACACCAGTATTCATTTATAAGTTAAAGGAGTGTTCTGTTCGTTACTGAATGATATAGAACATTACATTTGAACTCTAACTACAAAACGCCCATTATTCTTATTTTTAATCTCTCAGATAACCCATATCGACATTTTTATTCGCCAACTTTCGTCATATACAGGTGGCTAAGTGAAAAATTCTGCATAAATTAACTTTTTTTTTAATACCCAGAATGTGTGTAATGGTCAATCGAGTTAACAAATAAGTCACGCTATATCTTTAAAGATTACAGGAATTTTATGTTCAGAATGTAGATATAACAATTGTCGGGCTTTCAAATATGTAAAACGCGTTTACACCATAACAACTGTAGGGCTTACAAATATGTAAAACGCATTTACACCATAACAACTGTAGGGCTTACAAATATGTAAAACGCGTTTTCACCATAACAACCGTTGCATCAAATGACTTTTATAAATAATCTTCCGACCACTACTGTGTTTGTTGTATGCCAGCTGGTCTGAAGTTTGGTTTGGTTTGTTTTGAATTTCGCTCTAAGCTACACGAGGTTAGCAGTCCCTAATTTAGCAGCGAAAAACTAGAGGGGAGGCAGCTAGTCATCACCACCTACCGCCAACCCTTGGGCTACTATTCTACCAACGAATAGTGGTCGCATTATAACGCCCCCACGGCTGAAAGAACGAGCATGTTTGGTGGGACGTGGATTCGAACCGGCGACTTGCAGATTACGAGTCGAGCACTCTAACCACCTGGCCATACTAGGCCCCTGGTCTGAAGAGCTCTTGATTGAAATGACAAATAAAGTGTGGTTGGAATATTATTATTATACAATCCTTGAAAATCCCTAAAGGACTAAATTATGATTAGAGCTCTTGATTGAAATGACAAATAAAGTGTGGTTGGAATATTATTATTATTATTATACAATCCTTGAAAATCCCTAAAGGACTAAACTATGATTAGAGCTCTTGATTGAAATGACAAATAAAGTGTGGTTGGAGTATTATTATTATTATTATTATACAATCCTTGAAAATCCCTAAAGGACTAAACTATGATTATAGTAGACCTTATACTAATGTCTTATGACAAGTATGATATGTGGAACTGTTTTGTCAAAACCACAATGTAAAAGTTACAGAAACTTTTAAAAGTGAGAGTGTAAGTGGGCATAAGTATAAAACTGTCGCATTTACAAATATACAGATCTTTTCGTCAAAACTAAAGGAAAATTTGAAACTTGTCTAAACAGGCTTGTTTAGGTTATGTCGACGATCGCAGTCTAAAAATTGTTCGATAATACAGTATTACAAAATGCACAGAAAGTACAACTTAAAAAGGCTTCACAAAGTTCTGTTTGGATATATGATATATATATTTTTCACTTTAAAAATGCTATTTATCTCAAACTTAAAATGTTTCTTTTAGCCATTAAATTTGTGTCACTTATGTTTCTTGTTCTTTGTTTTCTTCGTCAATTGGATTAGCAACCGACAATAATAAAATAATTTCTATAAATTAATAAATCAAATGATACCACACAGAAACTAGGAAATATAGCCAACTTGTAGGCTGTGGGCCTGAGGGTTGCCCTGTGCCTCGTCGTTGTGTCTTTGAGCAGGGCATTTTACCCTAATTATTTGCCCTGTGCCTCGTCGTTGTGTCTTTGAGCAGGGCATTTTACCCTAATTATTTCTCATTACCAATCTGTGACGGGCCCTAGTTTGGAGACCCCTGTCCAAGAATAACGAGAAATGTGATATTTAATATTTGAAGTTGACGTTGAAAATTCTTTACATATATGTTGTGGTTCGACTATATATCTATTTCAGATGTTTATATCATGAAGTTCATTCCATTAATGTGTCAACCATTGTTTTCAATGTTTTATTTACAGAGGGCCTTCGTCCTTGAGGTGATGAAACATAAACCTCCTTTTGCTTATGACCGACACATTTACTTTACGAATTTCTTCGAGTAAGTTTAGGACCACGGTTTCTATAGAGAACCTTATTGTATTTAACAATGACAAATTGTTGTAGATGTTAATGTCATGTTGGTCTATGTTAAATTAAACCAGAAACAATACTTAAAATTTCATGAATTAACAACATGCGAAGGTATTTTTCAAACAGCTTTTCTGTTTGTTTTGTTTTATTTTGATGTTGTTGTTGTTGTTGTTGTTTTTCAAATACTCACAGTTTATTTCCTATTTTGAGAAGACATTACCCTCGTAGTTTCGTTTGAACGAGTATTTTTTGTTTTTTATCATGTATAAATTATATTGCAACAAGCAAAAGTACCCGTCCCCAGTGACGGGAAAAGTTTAAGTTAATTAATCAATTTCAATTATTTAATGAGCTTTTAAAAGGTTAATTGTGTTGCACTCTTGGTTTCACTCAGAGCCAAAGCTTTGAGCTACTTGTACCGTCCACCGTGAAAAGTTATTGTTGAGCATTTCAGTCATGCTAAGAGCCGCTCAATAATAACATACGGTAAATGTACATTTTTACTGTTTAAGTTACGTCACATTTTGAAATGTGAATGATAGTGTGATTAATTCCTGACAATTTAATGTAGAATATCCTGCTTGCGAAATAACATTTGGCATCAACATTATTCATA